CGTGCTTCTAGAGCGGAGAATCATGTAGTTCCGCCCGCGCGCGACCGCTTCCCTTGCTCGCGCGGGCGCCCCGCCCGCCCGCCCGCAACTCAGTTGCAAATCCCGCGCGCCGGCGATTGCAATGGCGGCTCGGCGCTGGACGGCGCATCGCCGCAGCCGCACGCGCGCGCGCAGGCTCGAGAACAGAGCGATCAGCTTGTCTGGCGCGACCAACGCGCCCGTGGTGGCGCTGACCGCTGAGCCGTTCTAAGCGCGTCCTGCGCCACGCGCGAACGCGCGGGCGCGCCTGTCCGAGCGGGCGCCTCGGGCGGGCGAGGTGCCGCGGCCACGTCGGCCATGGCAGACGCGCTGGCGATAGTGGCGACGCTGGCGACGTCGACGACGATGACGACGGTCTGGCCCCAGGCGGCGTCGATGCTGATCGCGTCGACTACGACGATGGCGCCCGCTCTTGGGCGGCGGAAGTTTTGGCGGGATTTCGACATGCGCGCGCGGCGCATTGGGGTGAGTGGCCCGCGTGGTTGGTTGTTGCTGATGTAGATCGTGCCCCGTGGCACGCGCGCGAGGGCGTTCGAATGGCGTCGGCACGCGCGCGCGAGAGGCCCGCTGGGTCGCATTTGATGAAGATGGAAATTTGAAGAAAAACATATGTTTTTGTTTCAAGAATTCGCACGAGCGCTCGCAGACTTTAAGGTCACGCTGCGAAGCCATTGGTTGTCTGCGCGATTTCGGCGCACTCGGTTCTTGAAATTCTTGCGATGCCGGTTGTTTCAACCGGATTCTTGCGCGCGTTCGAGACGACGCGCGCGCGTGCGCGTCGCCCTCTTCTCTGACAGGGATTGTTGAACATGGACAGCTTGTTTTTCTCCCGGGGGATGGGGGCGGGGGGGCGCCGGCCAGGCTGGGGGGCTCTGAACTAACAGCTAGAAGGAACGACGAGGCACAACCGCACGTAAATTGCGCGCCCCAAGGGCGGGGGGATAGTCTTTGGAGGCGAGAGTGTGAATATGAATGCTTCCTTGGCGAATCCACGCCGCACAATGCGATGCAGTCTAAGTGGCGCCCTGCCGAACTTGAAGCTGTCAGCTCCAATGCTCGCGAAATCACCCCGCCCGCGCGCGTCGAATTCGGGTTGCGCAACGCGCGCGGCGGCGACTGCAACGGCTGCTCGGCGCTGGCCGGCGCGTCGCCGCGGCCGCGCTAGCGCGCATGCTCGCGCGGAAGGCGGCCAGCAAGCTCGGCGCGACGGACGCGGCCGCGGCGGCGCTGACCGCCGGGCGTTGCCAGCGGGCTCTTCAGTGCGAGTCGGTGCTTCGGGCGGGCGCGGCATCGTGACAACGTCGACAGCGGTGGGCGCGACCATGACAGTAGCGACGCTGGCGACGACGACGACGACGACGACGACGGCGCGGCCAGCGACGGCGCCGATGCTGATCACGCCGACGACGATGACGACGTCCTGGCGTCTGTCATGTAATTTTTTGAAGGGGTTCAGCATGCGCGCTCGACCGACGCACGAGAGCGGCCCGCGTGGCATTGTTCGACGCGGATCGCGCCCCCCCCCTTCGCCCCCCAGCACGCGCGCAAGGGCGCCCGAATGATGTCGACTTGCTGCGCGAGGGACCTGTTTTGCAGAGCGCGAGGGTTCGCAAGTCCGCGAGCGCAGTTTTTCTTGTGGAGAACTGATGTTGGAAAGCCATTGGTGTTTACTTGTTTTCGGGGCATTCGATGTTGAAAATCCTCGCGGACCCTAGGTTGCGGCAGGGTTAGGCATGCGCGCGCGGCGACGCACGCGCGCACTTTGCCCCGGTTGTTGCAATGGGTTCTTGCGACAGCACGCTCGCAAGGGCGCTCGCGCGATTCCGACATGCGCGCGCGAGCGGCTCGTTCGGTTGCATGTCATGAAACTGTGCGGCGCCCTTTTTCTTTTACCAGACCTGCAAGAACCTGAGCGAACGGGCTTTATGTTGCAAAGTCGCGGTGGGAAGCCATGTTTTCTTATATGTTTCTTTGGCGAAGCCAGAGGTTTGCGATTGATTCCGGCATGCGCGCGCGACGACGCGCGCGCGCACTTTGCCCCACTTGTTCGAAGGGATGATGAACGAGTGCGAGCGCAGTCTGTTTTGCAAAGGATGAGGGGAGGCAGTGCTGGCCTTGCTGGCGTGGTATGAGTTCGCGTTTAGGATGGGCGATGGGGCAGAAGGAATGCCACTTGCAAGGCGAGAAATGGGAACCGTTAGTTTCGGGAGGGGGGGGGGAGAGGGGGGGGGGTGTGGGGGCTAGAACGGAGAGCTTAGTTGGTGCGGTTTGACTGTTGCACTCTATGCGCTTCAATCTGCGCTGCGCAATCCTTGTGGTGCAATTGATTTATATCAAACGAGCTGGCGCATTCCATGTTCTTGCACACATCCCACCCGCCCGCCCGCAATTTGGTTTGCAAAACGCATGCGGCGGCGATTGCGAGATGAATGCTTGGCGTTGGCTGGTGCATCTCTCCGTCAGCGCTAGCCCCTTCATGCTGCCGCGCGCAACGGCCAGCTAGTTCGGCGCGACCGACGCGGCCGCGGCGGCACTGACCACAGGGAACCTTGCAGCAGGCACTTCAGTGCGAGTCGGTGCTTTGGGCGGGCGCGGTGTCATGGCGACGCCGACAACGGTGGACACGACTACGAGAACAGCGATGGTGACGATGGTGGCGATGGCGATGGCGACGACAAGGCCAATAACGGCGACGATATTGATCACGCCCGCCGATAACAATGACGATGTCGTCGCTTCGGCGATGAAGTTTTTCGAAGGAGTTCGACATGCGCGCGCGGCCGACGCGCGCGAGTGGCCCGCGTGGTATTATTTGACACGGATCGCGCCCCTCCCCTTGCCCCCCCTCGCCCTAGCACCCGCGCAAGGGCGTTTTAATGCGGCGCGAAAAGCCCGCTTGGCAGAATGTTATGATAATGTTGGAACACCGGTGGTTTTCTTAAGAATCCGCACGAGCGCGGGCGCAGTATTTATTTTGAAGAGTGACGTTGCAAAACCATGTGATTTTAAAGGTGTTCGGGGCGCCAGATTCGAGACCCCTACGACACCGAAAGTGTTTCAAGGATTCTGGCATGCACGCGCGACGACGAGCGCGAGTGTGCATGTTGTCAAGGTGTTTTCGTTGCAAGGGTTCTTGCGACAACACGCGCGCAAGGCCTTCCGAACGATCTCGACACGCGTGCGCAAATTTGAAAGCATGTCATACACATGTTGGAAAACGATGGTTTCCGTAAGACTTCGCAGGAGTGCGAGCGCAAACTGTTTTGGAGCATTTTTGCTGCAAAGCAATGTGTTTTAATGTGTTTTCGTGACACTCGATCTTGGAAGCCTGACGGCACCTCAAGTATTTGAAGAAGTCCGGCATGTGCGCGCGAGGACGCGTGCGTGAACACTTCGCCCCATTTGTTGAAATATCGACTTATTGGATATATAATTTAAACACTTCTGATTCCTAATCAGCGAGAGCGCGCGCATAGTATTTTCGCAGAGGATGGGGGGCGGGGGGCGAAGTCCAGCCTGGTACGACTCTATATTTAGGATGGACGGTGGGTCTGAATCAGATGTAAATTGCAATGCCGTTCGCCCGGGGGGGCATCTATTAACCCCACGCCCACGATAATAATGTACCCCCCCCCCTTAAGTCGTTAGAGTTTTTTTATCGTCGACCAATAAGAGTTTGGTCGGGGGCGCGGGGGCGCGGAGGCCGAACTCCAGCATCACTGGGAAAGTTCGCCATCGAGGTTACTTCCGTCTCATGTCGATCAGATGAAAATTCTAATTTTCATTAAGCGCTTACAAATTACATCTAATACGTTTTGAACTTTGGAGTTTTGCTATCTCCTTCTCCTCTCCTCCTCTTGCTGTTTCTCATCGTCCTCCTCCTCTTCCTCCTCTACCTCCTCTTCTCTTTCTATATTTCTATGTATCTCTCCATCTTTCTTCTCCTCCCCCTGCCCCCTGAACTTGTTTATCGCTGGAGTTTACTCTCCATGGAACTCGTTAATGGGGCCGACGCAAGCGTCAATTCATTTCTATAACAAATAATAATAAACTCATAGAGATCTGTAGAGAAACCATCGGAATCTAAAGAAACCCAGAGGAATCGAGCGAAATCTATAAGTTTTCACATAGAGATCTATAGGGATGTAGAAAAATCCATAGGGATGTCGTGGAGGATGTCTCAACCGAAACAAATCATTGTTGAGGATGTCTCATAGATGACCAAAGGCCAAGGATTCTCAAGATATCTTTGGCTGTTTGCTATCTTCGGCTTTTTCCTCTTGATATCTCTTTATGCTGGCTCTGGCGGGCAACTTTTATTATCCCCCCGAAAACCCCGAACTTTATTATCCCTTAGGGTTTATTATCGGGGGCATGGGGTTATTTCTTTACGAAAATACGCAATTTGTGTGGTCCAGTCTACGTTGTGCATTCTGTTTTGTACGGCATACGCGGTACAATCAATTTTGTGCAAGCTACACGGTGCAATATATGTGGTGCAATATATGCGGTGCAATCTTCGTGGTGCAATATAGTCGATTCAAGGGCGGCGACGAGGCGGCGACGGGGCGGCGAGGGCGGCCACATAGCCACCAGACCGACAGACAAGCCCAGACGACGGGCAGCGACGAGGCGGCGATGGGGCGGCGACGACGGCAACATAACCGCCAGAGCGGCACACCGGCCGAGACGACGGGCGGCGACGAAGCGGCGATGGGGCGGCGACGGCGGCAGCATAGCCGCCAGATCGTCACACCAGCCAATTTCAATTTGGAACAAATCAGTCAGAACCCTTGCTCGGGGAAAAACAATTTTCCAAACATGACAACGGGATGTGATCGTCCTACTGGCGTTGGGTATTGTTTTCTGTTGTCAGACATTTGCGTCTGCCAGAGCCAGCAGCGGGTAAGGCTATTTTCTGTGGGGGAGGGTACCTCTGATCGCGCGATCCGCACCTGCAGGTCGAGTACGCCCTCTGCAAGCTGGATCCGGTCGGGCGCGTTGTGAAGCTCTCGCTGCGAGCTGACGAGGTGTTGGCGAAGTTGCGGGAGCGGGAGCAGACCAACACCCAGAAAGTTGGCTGCACCTGGCACCAGGAGTATGGCAGCTGGATGGTGGACACTTCGGAAAAATAGGGCGTTCCGGAAAGGGCCGCACCTTCGGGTAATCGACAGGTCGGCATTTTGCCCTCCGCGGAGGCTGGCGGAAGCTTGAGGAAGTAAAACAACGGTAATTCTGTTGGCGGAGGCGGCCCCGCAGAAGCCGGTTAACCCCGCAAAGAAAGCAGAACCGTGACATCGTTATTTGTCCCAGCGTTTGCTCAGCGCGCGTGTGTTCGAGCGCGCGTCTTTCCGCTCAAGCGGCACATGGTGTGTCACATGGCTCGTGTGAATGGGGAGGGGGGGAAGGGAAGATGGGCCTACAAGAATCCCCGTCAGAGCCTGTAACCACAATGCCTTTATGTAACCCTGTGGAACCCATCAACTGACTAGAACTCCTCAGCGTCCTCCTGATCTCCAAACCTCCGACGTTGTGTTCTTTGTCAGCGCGTGCCCCCCCGCCCCCCTTGAGCTCTCTCAATTTCGCTCCAGGGGCTCGTGGTTCGCCGCGCACGGGTCCTTCTGACATCGCTCCCTTGGCCCCGCGAGAGGCTGCACGGAGGCCCAATGGGCCCTCGAAGAGGGCGCGGCCTCGGGTGGTCTCTGGCGGGGAGGCCCCCTGGAGGCTCACGCCGAGGTCACGAGACATCGGAGGCGCCCCTCGAGAGCCCCAGGTCCCGCGAGGGGAGTCGGAGACGGGCGCGGCGGAGGTGGGGCCCCCTGTCGGATGCCGGCCCGGGCAAGTGTTCGAGGCACGGCCAGCCGTGCCCCCCTCCTCCCCGCATCCTTCTTCCCTCCCCCTCCCTCGTCGTCCTCTTTCCCACTGCAGCTCCTCAAGCATCTGCCTCGTGCCTCTCCAGGGATTCGTTTTGGCCAGGCCTTCGAGGGGCATGCAGACGTGGCGACTGAGGCGCCCCAGGAGGCCACCACTGCTGAAAAGCGCCCCCGCTCAGGAGGGGCACCGAACAGGGCGCGGGCGGAGGAGAGGGCGCGGGAGGGGGGAGGCGATGGGAGCGGCGCGCGGCGGCCGAGGTGGAGGCCACGCCGTCCGCCCCGTACGGGGGCTACACCAGCAGCCTGCTCGAGGTGGAGCAGAACATGCGGCTGCGGCGCTCGCGGCTGCTGTCCGTGCTGGAGGGAGGGCGGGGGCGAAGATCTCGAGGAGTTGTCGGGGTGGCTTGGGTGTTTCTGGGAGGCCGGGGGGGCGCCGCGGAGGCCTCCCAGGACTTCAAGACTTCCGGGGGCCGCGAAGAGTACAGGGTCCGGCTTGAATAAGGAACACTCATTTTTTAAAAGGGGCTCGGTCGTTCCTTCGGTTTGCATGCGTTCTGCTACCTTTTTGGCGGCGATCCCCCCTGGTGTTCCTTCGGACTGCCTAGACTTACTTGGAACAAAAAGGAGCTTCGTTCCTTAGTTATCGTTCCATAGGTCGGGCCGAATACTCTAGGGCGACGGGCATTCTTTCGCGACTTGCGGTTTTCGGGCTCTGGGGCAATAACATATGAAGCCCCTTGCGAAGACCCCGTGCCGAGGATGGGGTCGGGAATTGTTTGGGCCTACAGAGGCACGACGCTTGCGTGAAGAGGAGGAAGAAGAAGAAGACCCGAGGAAAGCCAAGCTGCATCACTGATGCTGAAACACACCCTCCCGTCCCAAACCAGCTCCGTACAAGTAAGTCCTGACAAGCTTTATGATTACGAGAAGCGGCCCGTGAAAGACCAGCACCCCTTAGGCCTGCCGTCCAGGCGATAGGCGGCGATAGCTGCATGTTAGAAGAAAGTGCCTTGCACCTACCTTGCTGGCGGCTGGATATGTGATCGCACAATGGCACGAGGTGTCCAGCGAGGTCCCCGTTTTGAGTCAAGGGCCGCCCCCGTCTGTCAAATTGTGGAATCAGTTTACAATTCTGGCCATGGCCGTCGATGACGTATCAAGTGAGGACCACAGTTTGAAACGGAACCGTCATCCATCTGTGTAGTTGTTCCTCTGTTCAGGCCCCTGGATTTTAATACAATGAAGTCTCTAGCGAGGGCCACACTTAACAAAGGAGCCGCCCTTCATCTCTGCAAAGGCTGCAAGCGTGTCAGAGGAATGTGTGCGGCGGTAAGGCGAGAGCCCAATTTTGAAAACGTGCCGTTTCGCAAGTTGTGCGACGAATGTTCACGCCGCCACAGCAAGACCACCATCTCGAAAAGGAACCGCCTTATATCCTAGCTTGCAGCTAATGAAATTTACAAAATGAATGTGCTCAGCGCCAGGGCGAGAATCACAATTTCAAAAGCAGCCGCCCTCCGTCCATGTAACTGCCGTAATATGTTGGGGACGAGCTTGCGCGGCGCTGAAGCCAGAGCCTCACTTTTGAAAGGAGCCGCTCTCCATGTCTTGTGCTCGCTGGAACTTCTAAGGCGAATGTGCACGGCTTTCGGGAGAGAGCTCTTTAAAGCAATTGGCCGCTATCCATCTTTTGAGCTGTTGAAGCAGCTTTGAAACGAATGTGCGGTGCGCGGCGCGAGGGCAAATGGCCTTGTTGATAACCACCCGCCCGCGTGACCGCTGGAAGCTGCAAGCCGCAGGACCACTGATTACGAAAGGAATGGAGGAGGGAGGAGGAGGAGGAGGAGGAGGAGGAGGAGGAGGTGGAAGAGGAGGGGGAGGAGGAGGAGGTAGAGGAGGAGGAGAAGGAGGAAGAGGAGGAGGAGGAGGAAGAGGAGGAGGAGGAGGAGGAAGAGGAGGAGGGACGAGGGAGATGGAAGGGTCATTTGGAAGGAAAGAAATGTAGGAAGCGGGAGGAAGAGGGAGGGGAGGAGGACCAGAGTAAACCCAGGATGCGTCAGCGATGCTGCCATACATCCTTGCGTCCCAGGTTGGAGCCGATGGTGTCACTCGACATACAAAGGAAAAGTCATTCCATCCTTCGCCTTCCTCCCTCTCCTGGGGAGGAGGCAGACGAGATCGCGCCCACCATGACGGTCTTCCCGCTGATGGGCTGCGGCGACTTCGTGTCGCCGCCGGCGCCCCCAGGCTGCGGGCCAGCGTCCTCCTGCCCAACCATTCCCTTTCGTTCCCGGGGGTGGGAGGAGGGGCCAAGGGAGGAGGGAGGAGAAAAGAGGAGGGAGGAGGGAGGAGGAGGGGCCAAGGGAGGAGGATGAGAAGGAGGGGGCGAAGCGGAAGAGGGGGGACGTTTTGAAAGGGGGATAGCAACAGAGGCATCACAACAGACTCTCGATCACAGGCGCCGTTGGCTCACCACGGGCGCCCCGCCGCAGCGGAGCCGCCCGCGTCGATCCCCGTGGTGAGCTCGGCGCCCGTGATCGAGAGTATGCCGTGCTTTTCATCTCTGGAAGAGGAGGGCTCCCACGAGGGCGCGAAGTTATTCGCGCTTCGCGGTCCTCGCTCCTTCTCCCCCCTCCTCCTCGTCCTCCTTCTCTCCCTTTGGGGGGGCGGCGCGAGGGCGCGAAGTTGTTCGCGCTTCGCGCTTCGCGGAGCGTGAGGGCGCGAAGTTGGGAGCCCTAGGGAAGAGGAGGGAGGAGGGGCGGATGGAGAAAGGAGGATCGGGACTGAGGAGTTGCATGAGGAGAGAAGGAGCAGAGCAAATACAGGATACGCGCGGCGGTGCTGCGATGCGCCCTCCCCTCCCCGGCACCCTGGTCATAGGTTATGGCAGGCATTCCTCTCCGGAGAGAGAAAAGCACACGGACACAAATAATCGTCGATTCACACGAGAATATATATATATATATATATATATATATGGAAAGATGCGTGGGCAGTGGAGGGGAAGACGAACATCCAGAACGTATGCAAAATATGGGGGAACGTGGGATCCGTGTCTACTTCTTTGTGTTGCACTCGGACAACAGAGCCCCATTGACCTGACATTCAAGCGAGAGCTCCGTTTTGAAAAGGACCACCTCGACTGCGATAGCAATGGAGACCAACGTGGTGGGATCAGATTGCTCTGGGAAGTGTCCAGCGATGCTTCCTTTTGAAGAGAACTTCCATCACCTGTGCAGCCATTGCATGCTTTTATCTTTTGCCCCCAGCACGAGGAAGTCTCAGGGGGGAGCCCCAGTTGTTTCAAGGCGATTGTGTGCGGCGTCACGCCGAGAGCTACATGTCAAAAACCAGCCGTCATCAATCCAGACAGCTGCTGGAACCCGCAAGACGCTTGCGCTCGGCGCTAAGGCGAGAGCTGCAGGAGTTGTCCTAAACGTCCTCCATTCGTGTAGCTGCCCGGGAATTTTGAAAGCCAGAGGAGCAAGAAGAGGAGGAGGAGGAGGACCAGAGTAAAGCCAAGATGCAGTAACGATTCTGCCATACTCCCACTTGTGCCATGTCCCCCTTGTCATCAGCCCCCCCCCACGAGGGGCTCCTGCTCAGCGTGGGAAGTACCCCCATGCAAGGCCGAGCGCCCCGTGGTTCCTGCAGGTCGTGCGAGAGCCTTGTCTCGAAGAGGAGTTGCCAGACATGCTTCTGGCTATACCCATCTAGGCCTCCCAGACGGGGTCGGAGTAGATGGGGTCGGAGGATCGCGCCGCATCGCCGATGCATCGACGATGCGGCTCGATGCGGAGCCCGGTTTTTTCCACGCCAACGGTGCCGATGCATCGCCGACGTCGCCGATGCATCGGCGATGGATCGCCGATGTATTGCCGATGCGGCCCGATCTCTCGACCACATCTACTCCGACCCCATCTGGGAGGCCTCTAACCCAGACCCCCTCGAGTCATGAAAAAGTCATGACGGGAGGTTTGTCGCCGTGTTCGGCATTTGGGGGCCCTTACCTGGCCTCGGGACCGTCAAACAACGACGCGGGATGAAAGACCGGTCCTGAGGAACGGGTCGAGACCTCGGGGATCGACGTGATGAAAAGGTCACGGCGTCGGGGGTCTGGGTAGAGACGGCGGCGAGGTATGACAAAGGTCAAGGAACTGTCCGGCGAGAGACCCCTGGGAACAGGGCCGCTATCAATCCGTGCACTCGCTATGCTGACACGTATGGCGTAGGGTCGTACGCCAGGATCAGTCAGGCAGTGGCAAGCGACGAGTCCCGTCCGAAAAGGAGGGAAGGGACCACCCTTCACTCGTGCAGCTGCGAGAAAATTCCACCACGAGTGTGCGCGGCGCCACGTCGAGAGCCACATGCCAAACCGACCCCATCCGTCCTTGTAGCTTTTCTCAGATTGTAAGACGAACGTGAGGAGCCGCCCTCCATCGGAGAAATTGCTGGCAACTTTTTCAGGCGAGCGTGCGCGGCGCCAACGCGAGACCAGATTGTGATGACCACCCGCCCTACATCCATGACAAGATGCAGAGTGCCAAGCTTCGGAGTCATGAAAGGGGAGGAAGTAACAGGCGACTCGCGCGGACCGCCCTACCAACACGCCTTGTGGTCAGACGAGGAGAAGCTGTCCGCAAGAAAAAAGGGACGGAGGAATGAGAGGGGAGGGAGTAGGAGGCTGGAAGGGAGGGGGGAAAGGAGGGGAGAGGAGGATGATAAAGTGGGGAACATTCTTCTCTTGCACAGCTGTGCTCTAGAGCTCGGAGTTCTTTACTTTCGTCGTGGTTCGTTCGTTCGTGGTGGTTCGTCCCTGGCCCTGGGCCCCGCCCCCCCCTGGCTCGAGCCCTGGGTCGAGGCCCCAGCCCCCTGGGGCCCAGAGCATCTGGCCCTGGGAGCACCATCCCCCTTCGCCCCGGAGTTTTCTATTTTCGTCGTGGTTCGTTCGTTTGTGGTGGTTCGTCCTTGGCCCTGGCCCCCGCCCCCCGCTCCCCCCCCCCCTTGCTCGAGCCCTGGGTAGAGGCCCCAGCCCCCCTGGCCCCGGAGCATCCACCCCCCTGGCCGCGGAGCTCTTTACCTTCGTCATGGTTCGTTCGTTTGTGGTTCGTCCCTTGCCCTGGCCCCCAGTCCCCCTGGGTCGAGGCCCCAGCCCCCCTGGCCCCGGAGCACCACCGGAGCCTTTCGTTTTCGTCGTGGTTAGTTCGTGATTCGTCCCTGGCCTTGGCCCCCGCCACAGCCCCCCTCTGGCCCTGGGTGGAGGCCCCAGCCCCCTCGCCCCTGCCCTCTGGCTCGAGTCCTGGGTCGAGGCCCCAGCCCCTCTGGCCCCTGGAGCACCAGCCACCCTGGCCCCAGAGCCCTTGATTTTCGTTGTGGTTCGTGGTTCCTGCAGATGCCCTTTTGCGGGCCTCTTCTACTTGATTGTCTTCCTCTTCGGGCGAGTTGGCATCTTGGGAGCCTCTTGGATATTTTGGCGTTCGCTTGGAGGCATCATGGCCCGTATTAGGCGCCCGCCTCATAACACATTCCGCACGCCAGCTCGACCCCACGACGTATCCCGATACATTTTCTTAGGCTTTCAACGTGCCTGGTGGCACGGTAGCGGATGGACCAGAGATGAACACAGCGTTCAAAGAGTTAAACGACCACCTCCGGCAACACGACAGCACGAGGCATGACCGCCTCCGATCGGAGAGGAAGTTCTCTGCGAAGCGGGACCTCATGGTTGCGTTTTTTATTGAGCACGTGGCGGCCGAAGACGACAGCGTCCCACCTAAAATAATTCCCCTCCCGAGAACATTAGCCGACCTCCAGAGTCTTGCAGAGGCAGGTTGGGTCATCATCGTCGTCGTCGTCATCGTCGTCGTCTGCTTCCCAATATCGTTCCAAGACGGCGTCGTGGTTGTCGTCGTCGTCATTCTCAACGCAGTTTTTTCTGGCTGGGTGCGCCCCCCCCCATTTCTCTTTTCCTCAGAGGCTTCTGGGAGCTACTCCATAATTCAGCCTGGGGGCGGGGCCGTTTGCGCGGGGCCATTTGCGGGCCTTGCGCCGTCGAGTAAAACGACGCGACCCAGCCAAGAGGAGAAGGACGAGGCGAAGGAGGAGGACGGCGGAGAAGCAACAGGCGAGGAGGACCAGGGAGGATCACAATAGGGAGGAGCAGGACGGGAGAGCGGATGGCTCCCGCATTGTCGACATTCGCCATGCAGCAGGCTGGTTTCCCTGGCGTCCCCCCGTAGCATCCGCGCATGGCAACACTGCCGGACTCTCTTGAGACATTTTGGGGGGGGCTTCTGAAAAGGCCTTATATGGGGCGCTCTGAGTGCGTCTTGGAAAGCGTCTTGGGCGCCAGTTGGGGCCCTCTTTGACCACCCCTCTCCCCCACCCCCCAACCTCCCCAGTCGGCCCTCTCGGAGTGCCCACGCGGGCTTGCCGGCGCGCCTTGGATTTTTCCGCCCCGCTATACCGTGCCTTGGTCCTTCGTGCGTCGTTCGTGCTCCCCCCCCGCCTCCCTCCGTCCTTCGATGCCTGACGGTGCAAGAGCCAGGGCACGCGTGCCACTTGTTGGGACGACAACGGGCCGCCGCGGGCGCGGAAGCGCCGACGGCAGCTGGAGACAAGACACAGCACCGAGGGCCATCCACGGCGCAGCCAAAGCGGCCCTTGCCGCGCCGACCACTGGCGAAGCGCGCGCCGCAAGTGCAAGTTGACCGTTGCGAGAGAGGCCGCTCCTGCAATGTGGCCCAGGTCGCAGCTCTATCAGTACAGCTCAAAGCCCGAAGACAGCGACAGCCCCCTCTGTCACGCCTCACTCTTAACTGTGGCTCGCTGGACGGCATGCCCTCCGAGCCTGAGCCTCCGGAGCCAGAGCTCACGCCCTGCATTGTGGGCACAGGCCGGACAAGAACGGTACGGTAGAGGGAAGATACTAATTCCCCAAAATGTCAAAGTTGACACGCGCGGAGGAGACTGCGGTCGAAGTGCAACTCATCAGACCCACCGACATTTTTGAACATTAGTGGGAGGGGAAAGCGTTGACCGATGACTGCGGCATGAGTGTTTGCTATTTTCCCGAGGCCTGTATTGATCGCTCCGCTCGACCCCCTTTACGGCCACGCCGCCTCTCTGCCCTGCCTCTGCACAGCCAGTGCACAGCATCTGCGCCGCTCTGCCCCCCCAGCCCCCGCAGCCCTGGGGCGCCCGTGTGCAGCGCATCCTCCGCCCTGACAGAAAGAGCAGCATCCTCT